AGCTGCCAGGATTACGGGCATTCCACGGAAGCAGCATCCGCCAAGGGAAAGGGCCCTGTGGGTCTGGTGCAGGGGTGCAGGGGGACAAGGGACAGCACTACAGGAGGTCAGGTATGGACTCTGGGGGCCAGAAGAGTGGGGTCAAGCCCCAGCTTGGTCCTCTCCTTGCAGGGTGGCCTGGGGCAGAGCAGGAGGCCATCCAAACCTTCATCTTCCCCATCTGTAAAAACCAGAATAGCTTACGACCACGATGGGGAATGAACAAGACGGTATGTGAAGTCCTTTGGCGAGGGAACTGCACATAGTAGGCTCTTAGTTAGGACAGCTGTGTGTGTGTGTGGGGTTAATAACACAGACAAATGTAAACAGTTGGACGTGACAGGACGACACAGGTGGACGCTGGCAGCCACGCTTACATTCCGTGGAAAGGACCCCATAAACCATTGGTGCCTAGTACCGCGCCACCTGCCTTCTACAGCCTCTGAGAACAGCCCCTGTCTCGGACCCCTGATTTCCATCAGCTGGCACAGGAGCTGAATCTTTCAGGCTGGCCTGGAAGGGACCCCTCTCTAACCAGGGGGATTAGCCCGGCCTGAGGTAGGGAGGGGATTTGCAGACCGGAACAGGTGGGGCCTGGCGTTGGAAGTCTGAGCTGCATACCAGGGATTCCTGCAGGCGACCCGCCCAGCCTGGCCTGGGGCCAGACTGGAGCTCCGCACCCAGTACCACCTGGGGGTGGGGATGGGGGGGCCCTGCTGGGAGACCTCCGGGCTCCGGGTAGGGTGGAAGCTGAGGGCAGATGGATTTAGTTGTGGGGGCTTTGAAGCAAGGTGAGTTAGGCTTGAATCCAGCAGGAAGTGAAAGCGAATATTCCAGGATTCATTCCCTCAAAGGGTCTTTTATTGGGCACCTACAGTACACCCCTCCCAGCAGGCACTGCAGCCCTAAAGGGTTGTCCCTGCCCCCATGAGCCCCTGTTGAGTGAATGGATCCCAATGAGGGCCACGGTGCCTGTAGGGATGGGAAGGGACAGAGTATGAAGGCAGTCTAGGGCTGGGCCTGGTGTCCTCGAGGAGGGGACGGTGCTGGTGACTCTCTGGCTTCCTTGGGACTGGGGCCCTGCTGGGAACAGGGGTTTTCGGTTCTAAAATGGGATGGCCAGGCAAACTGGGCTCTCCTGTCACCCATGGAGGTGATGCAGGGTAATGAGGCTGAGGTGCTTGCATGGGAGGGATGGAGGGAGGGAAGGACATGGGGCACTGGGCAAAGGTCAAAGAAGGAGGGAATTTGACATTAGGCCTCACTCTGATCTGCTCTCTCTGGAGAGAGTGGGGAGGGAGAGGATGGCAGCACAGCCACAGCGAGACATGGTGTTCTGGATACTGGGGTTGGGAGTGGCCATTCTGACTCAGGTTAGCTGAAGGCCCACTAGGCCCCAGGAGATGCTGGGCAAAACACCTGTCCTCATGGACCACACGGGCAGGGGAAGGGACAGCAGAGCCCAAGGAGGGGAAATGGGGACATGTCTCCCAAACCAGCTGCCCTGCATAGTTACCCCACTGACTTGGGCTGGACGGAGACTTGGGTAGTATCTCTGGGTAGTGTCAGCAGTTCCCTGGAAGGGTAGCCCAGCAAAGGTGGGCCGTCTAGTCTGGAAAGCTGGTGAACAGCTCCTGGAAGCCCTGAGTCCTGGGCATCCCCTTGTCCCTTGCCTTCCACAACCCTCCCTCATCAACTGCCTTTGGAATCCAAAGCTCTGGGCTTGGCCATTAAGGTGCCAGTGCTTCCATTCCCCTACCCCCACCACCCCCCTGCCCCCCCCCCCAATCCTGAGGAGCATCACAGCATTCCCGCCATGGCCATGTGATCTGTTCCTCTGCCATTTCTCACCAAGCCCTCCCAAGGTTGGCAGTGCATCAGCCAGGTAAACTATTTCTGACCGGGTGACCAAGTATGGTTTTCCAAAAGCTCTGAGTCCTCTGGGAACCCTGGGTGGCGCAGCGGTTTAGCGCCTGCCTTTGGCCCAGGGCGCGATCCTGGAGACCTGGGATGGAGTCCCACGTCAGGCTCCTGGTGCATGGAACCTGCTTCTCCCTCTGCCTGTGTCTCTGCCTCTCTCTCTCTCTCTCTCTGATGACTATCATAAATAAATAAAAATTAAAAAAAAAAAAGCTCCGAGTCCTCTAAGAAAGGGATGTCTGCAGTTTCAGCTCTGCCTCCATCCTAGAGCCTTGCTGACCTGACTGCTTCCTTGACACAGCTTGCTCTCTCTTAAGATCCTCAGCACGTGCATCTCACTCCTTCGCCCATCTACTAACTCATCCTTTATCCACGTGTCCACCCATCCTCCGCCCATCCATCCACCCACCACTGAGTGCACATCGCGTCTGCTGGTGGGGGGAGTGCACGCTCTACCTGGAGTTGGTACTGATCTCCAGGCCTGTGCCTACTGCCTGTGGGTGCTTGGGCAGCTTCTCAGCCTCTCTGAGACTCGGTTTCCTCACTGTGGAAAGGAATAAAGGCACTCCCTTCACAGGCTTGCTGTGGAGCTGCAAGAAATAAGACATGTAACAAACTTCCCAGACGGGGGAGCCAGCAGGTGCGCCTCCTCCCCTCCTCCTCTCTGCCATTGCCACCTGCCAAGACTGCTGTGACTTGCCTGGCGGAGGGACCTGGGCGAGTGAGGAGGATGCCCAGACAGGTTCAAACTCTGCTTGATGATATAGCCTTGAGGTATGTTGTCTTTATAAAGACTCTTCCTGGAAACAGGTTCATTTACCAAATTAGCTCCCGTTGGCCAAAGCACAGTTAATGTTCTGGAAAAACAAATCTCCAAAATGTTCTCCCCTTCTCTGTAGCTTTATATCCTCTCTTCCATTTCCAGCTGTGATTTTCTGAGCTCGACCACATTTCAGGAGGGATATAAAAGGATTTAAAACTTCGCCAATGAAACAAATCACCTGCTTTTGCTAAATTGTTTTACCTGCTGTATTTTTTGGTTCTAGTATTTTAGCTATGACTGTAAGGATGAGTTGCAAGAACACAAGAGAGAGAGGGAAAAAAAGAACACAAGAGAGGATTTCCTCAGTTTCACTGGAAGGCTCTGTCTCCTGGGGGGAGGGAGGCAAGATCAATTTACTTGGGAACCCAGTTTGATTTCTGAGTTCTGGGGTCTGGAACTTTATCCATCTCTGTCTGGAGGGTCAGAGGTATTTTTGATTTGGGGCTGGGATCTGGGGTGCACAGGTTGGGGGTGGTGCTAGGCTAGAGTGCAGATTTAGTCAGCAGATTTTGGATTTGGACAAGAGAGCAATGGGAAGCTCTCTTGAGTCCTTTTTTAAAAAAGATTTTATTTATTTATTCATGAGAGATACAGAGACACAGGGAGAGGGAGAAGCAGGCTCCATGCAAGGACCCCGACATGGGACTCAATCCTGGACCCCGGGATCACGCCCTGAGCCAAAGGCGTCTGCTCAACTGCTGAACCACCCAGGTGTCCCAAGCTCTCTGAGTCTTAAATCAGAGGGTGACAGATCAGAATTGGGAGTTTTGGTTCTGACTATGCTTCAGAAAGGTTTGGAAAAAGCCTGTTGGAAGATAAATCCCCGGGGGCAGGGATGGAGAGAGATGGATTGCTGAGACACCAAGAGGTGATGGGGGAGTGCCCACATGGGCTCAGATTCCAGCCCAGGTGGCCAGGTGGAGGGTCCTTCTTCATCTTGTGCTGGTTTGTTAACTTCTGTAACAAAGGTGGCCCAAGGTGACTAGGCTCCCAGGAGCAGAGATCCACACAGCGCCATGCCAGGGCCAGAGACTTGGTGCCACACGATGCTCCTTGGGAGTGGCCTGCAGACCAGCAGCCTGTCTCAGCTTGTGTCCTGGACAACCACACACCTTGTTCCCTGGGCATTTCCTTTCTAAATGATGTCCTCTTGTTAGCACAGGTTCCTGCCACATATTTGGTGTTTCCGTCCTTAATTGGGAAATAAGACTGCAGGTGATGCTGCCTGGGATGGGGGTTGGGGCCTGGGAGCTGAAGACTGCCCCCAGGACTGTAAGGCCCACGTGTCGTTGTCGTGTCCCCCCCACCCCCCCCACGGGATGAGAACACACAGGACTTGGGGCCAGAAGGCGGGCTGCAGGCTCTCCGTTGGCACGAGCCCTCTCCTCTGGGGTTCCCCTTCCTCGCGTGTACCCGGCCATGACAAACTGTCCTGGAGCCCACCTTGCAGACAGCAGAGCGGCCTGCACCTGGTGACTGGCGGTACGACGGCCCTGCACTGTCCCTGGCCGGGGCTCTCTGCCGGTGGCCGGCAGGCGCGCAGGAGAGCTGGGGGGGGGGGGGGCGAAGCGCAGGGGAGCCGGCACCCTCATCCTTGCGGGCTCCGGTCCTAGCTTCCGGGGCGCGGGCGTGCGCGGGGACACCAGCCCCGGCCGGCTGCGGTGCACACTTGGCTGCGGCGGTCAGCTGCGCGCCACGGCGAAGAGGGGCAGCGATCCCCGACGGAGGGTCTCCCACGAACCCTCGGGCCCTGCCTCCCCTGGACGCCCGGGGGCGAGCCCTGCTGCTTTCTGGAGGCGCCGCTGCAGGCCGCGTTCAGGAGGTGAACTTCCGAGGGGCACACTGGCACTTTCCTGGAGGTATCCTCATACTTCCGTTTTTAGAAAGTGCACAAGAAAGACCTGCACCGGCCAACTTTGAGGTTACCCCTTTGCACGCCGTCCCTTTAAGGCGTTGGGCCGGCCCCAGGCCTTATGCCCCTCGCCGCTCCCCGTAGTGCCCCTCCGAGAGGCCGGCTTTGTGCGCTCGCCCCGCCCCGCCGCCGCCCCGCCCCTCGCGCACGCGCACGCGCACTCCCCCCCCCCCCCCCCCGCCGCGCCGCCTCGTCCAGCTCGGCCCGGCTCCCGCCCAGGCGGCGGCGACGCGACGCCCCGAGCGCCCGCCCCGCCGCCGCGGCCGGCAGGTAAGCGGGGCCCGCCGGGCCAGAGACCGCACACGGGGTGCGGGCGGGGGCCGACGCCGGCTGCCCCCCGGCCCGCCCCGCCGCCGCACGTGTTCCGGCGGGCCGGGCCCAGGTCCCGGGTCCCGGGTCCCGGGTCCCAGGTCCCAGGTCCCAGGTCCCGGGTCCCGGCCCTCCCCGCCGGGGCCCTCCCCGTGCCGGCGCCCCGCGCCCCCACCGCCTCCCTTCCGGGTGCCCACCCCGCGGCCCTCGCCCGCCCCCGGCCCCCGGCGGCGACCCCTCCGCCTCCTCGGGGCCCAGCCCCCTCCCCGAACGTACCCCGCGACCGTGCTGCGGCCCCCCAGCGGCCAGGTGACAGCCCGCAGGCCGGGGCCTGGGACCTCCTGCTGCAGCCGGCGCGCGTCTCCCCGAGCTCTCCGCTGCTCCTCCGAAGAAAGACCCCAGACCCGGCGGCGGGGTCCTGGCCGGGCGCGCAGACCGCGGCTCCCCTCTTCTGCGGAAACGCCCCCCGCTGCGCCCTGCTGCTGACCCCCAGCCCAGGCGGCCGGGCCCCAGGTGCGGCTCGCCCTCAGCAGCCAGGGACCCCGGCTCCGCAGCGCCTCGCGCCACTTGCAGTGTGCTGTGCCACAGCCATTTTGGGTGACGGCAGAGACACTCCCTGCAAGCCTTCTCATACCGGTTTCTGCCCACCCAGGTCCTTGACCCGGCGCTTCAGCGCTGGCAGGTGCTGTGCCAGACGCTGCCTCTGAGGTCGGCCCGGCCCCCTCCTAGAAGGCAGATAGGTAAGCTAGGCTGGAAGCTCCGCGCAGAACAAACAGGTGGGGAGAGCGGCATACCCCGCCCCCTCGGTCTGGCCACCGGCGGGTCATCAGGTTACCCGGCCTGTGGGCCAGTCTCGGGTGGAGTCCGGGGATCTGCATTTTACAAGCAGTGCAGGGGAGCACCCCGGTTTGGCATGGTCAGGCTCACCTGGGTGAAAGACCTGTGAGGGCCCAGAGGGGTCAGGTGGCATGTGCTCTGGAGGCTTTCCCCTTCTTGGACTCCCTGAAGAGCCAGTCCCTAAGCAGCTGCCCCGTTGCTTTCCCTGAGCGTCACGGAAAATGCAAGGCTTTCCCTCCTCTTGAATGGAAACTGGGGGCATTGAGTCAAGAAATTGCACATTAGTGTTTTGCTAGCCCAAGAGATTGGCAGATTGGATTTGATTGAGCTGGGAGGGGTTGCACACCTTTTCTGTGAGATTAGCTGTTGTATTCCCTAGTCCTCACCTTGAGGGCAGGTAGTTTGCTGGGAGTCACACTCCACCCCCCGGTGGGTCTCAATTTTTATGTTAAAAGGAGCAGCTCTGGGTTCCCTGAGCTGCCCAGGTCACCCCCAGAGGAAGTCTCTTCTGTTCCCACACCTCTCCTAGCTCTTGCTGATACCTTCTTCAGATATTAGGTTTTGTGAGTCAGTCTTTCCAGCTGTCTTCCATAGCTTCCCCCCACCCCCCACTTGTCTGTCCGTCCACCTAGGGCAAGGTGGCACTCGGATTAATTGGCATGACCGGGTTGCACTAAATTTACTCACAAACCAGCTAGTATTTGCTGAGCACCAGCTTTGTGCCAGCATTTTTGTATCTGGGCGTGAATATGTGACCTGCTCCAGGACTTGGCCTTTGGGTGCAGCAGGATCCATCCTTGGGCATAAGCCCAAGTCCTTGCTATATACAGGTAGCCAGTGGGACCACATCTGTGCTCTACATGCGTATGTTGCATTGTAATTTCCCTTTTGGATAAAGACTTTAAGACGTGGTCTTTTTTGATGGCTTCCATTTTGCCTTGGTGTGACAAGGAGTCGTGCAAGCTTTCAGTTTTAAGTGCCAAGCTAGAATTTTACACCGTGTAAACCATTAGATTAACAGTGGTGTAAGCTTCCAGGAATTGGATGACCAGTGATGTCTGCAAGAACACCATGGTGGTTCCCCCATTTCAGAGTCACCAGGTGTGCTTCTAGGAGATGCATCTAGGATCTGGAATCTGTTCCTGGGCTAGAGCAAATGAGTCGCTTGCTGTACAGCTTGGGTAGCTCCCATTGTCACGCTGAAACCTAATTGAGCTGCGGTCTTTCCCCTCCTGCAGCGAGAGCTTGCTTGCAGCCGATCTGTGTACACTTCAGGCTTCAGCAGCAGGCAGGGCTGGCTCTGGTTTGCACTTCTCAGCTGTGTCTTGTAGTCGCCTCACGAGGGACAGAGCGCCTTTTGAGCTGCCAGGGTTCTGGAGGCGGCCTTGTGTCTACACCAGACGACAGGGAAGCCCCCTGGGAGATGCAGACCGCTGTGGGGCGGGGCGGGGGGGGGGTGTCTGCTCTTGTATATTTTCAAACGTGGTAGTTAAGCACTGTTGCATCACTTGTGAGGATTTGGACGAGTTCCCAAATTTCTACACCCTGAAGCTCAGTCTCCTGTAATTTGGGTTGGTTTAGGGTTTTTTTTTTTTTTTTTTTTTTTTTTGTTACGTTTCAAGGGCTCTTTGAAGAAAATTGCATTTTGTTTGCCTGGCCTGAGCTGCATTCCTACCAGGAGGATAACAGTAGGGAGCACCCTTGAAGGTGGGGCCTTGGATTACATGGACAAAAGGGGCCTGGGCAGCCTGTCTTAGCATCTGAAGAGTATTTAGTGCAGACTTAGCTCCACAGATAGGTTCCTCGTTTTGGAATAGTGTGTCTGCTCAGGGCCCAGCAAGGTGGGTGAAGGTTTTTCACCCTTTTTGCTGGGAATTAGTTTTTAAAATATGGTTTGTTTATTGGCCTCAGTCCTCCACTGTAGGTTTCGATTAGCAGACAGCTCTTTGCACTGTGAGTCTTCGCTTGGAGCTGTGAACTCTACCCGCGTCTGCCTGCCTGGTGGGCTTCAGAGCCATGGCAACGGAGGAGAAGAAGCCAGAGACGGAGGCCGCCAGAGCACAGCCCACCCCTTCCTCCTCGGCTACGCAGAGCAAGGCATGTCCCTGAGGGCTTGAGGGGAACTGCCAGGGGCGCCTAGGCCGAGTACTCTTCGGAGATGCTTCTTCCGAGTCTGTTCTCCCTCTTCAGTTAGACACTGTGTTTTTATTTATGGGCCACAGACCTAATCAGTGCTTGTTTACCGTGCTGAGGATCCCCAGACCTGTCCCCCGGAGAAGGGGCTTTATCACAACATAGATCCTTGTTCCTGATCGTAAGATCTCTGCAGCACCCAGAAAGCCTCTCATACAGCATCCTCCCTGGCCCACAGTTCTGGTGGCCAGGCAGGTTTGCAAACCCCTTTGCTGGACACCAGGCGGCACATACAGGCCTTTGAGCAAGGCTACAGCCTTCAGGTTTGCCTTGAGGGAGGCTGTGCTTGCCGGACTTGGTGATGCGTGTCGGACGTTGGGGTGGAGTCAGGCCTTGAGGGGCCTCTGTGTTGAGCTGTCCTGGAAGAGCTGGGCACGGAGGTGGGGGCTGCAGGAGAAGCAGGGCTGCCGAGGGGAAATAGCCCAGATTTAAACACGACCAGTTGGAAAGGACTTCCAGAGAGTTCTAGCAGGATTTGGAACTTAGAAGGTGGTTCTGAGTTTGAAGCAAGGCGGTGGTTAATGGTTTGATGACTAGTATTCTCTCTTCAACAGCCTACCCCTGTTAAACCAAACTACGCTCTAAAATTCACCCTGGCTGGCCACACAAAAGCCGTGTCCTCCGTGAAATTCAGCCCGAATGGAGAGTGGCTGGCAAGTTCGTGTACGTATCACCAGGGCCTCCGCTCCTGTCAAAGGTAGTCTGTGCTGCCACCAGAAGCCCGGAGCAGGGGGAGGGCTTGCTTTCTGATGCTGCCACTGGGGTGTCGCAGGGGCTGGAGCCCTTTACTTAACACTCTGAGGTGATGTGCCCAGGGGAGAGGGGGAGGGTACTCCGGTGCCGGCTACTTCTTTCCATGGGATTTGCACTGTTTCCAAGGCTCCTGTTGTGGGCAGCCCGGATTTTGCCCTTGGGGTGACTGTACCATCACAGTTATTTTGTCTTTCTTTTTTTCAGCTGCTGATAAGCTCATTAAAATTTGGGGAGCATATGACGGAAAGTTTGAGAAAACCATATCTGGTCACAAGCTGGTAGGTTCATCCCTGCACGTGGAGGTTGCCCACTGGCCGCCTTAGCCCCACTGGTGGGTGGGGCCCATCCCCAGAGCTCAGCAGGTTAAGGTCTAAGCTTTCCCCCAGAGTTTTTTGGGTAGTTCTTTGCTTTTTGTCTTTTTTTTTTTTTTTTTTTTTTTGCCTTTTGTCTTTTAAGCAAGTACTTCTGACCTTCCCAGACAAGTTTCTGCCTGACTGCAAGAGAACACACTCTCCTTTGGGGACTGTGCAGTGTTTTGTCTGTGTGGTCAGCAGTAGCTAGAGGGTTTGGGTAGTGGACTGAGGTGCTTATTTATCTTTGGATGGACGTTCTGACCTTCGCTGGTTAACTGTATTTTGTCCTGTCAAGGCGGTGACCCTGTGTCTTTGCTCCCCAGGGGATATCAGATGTGGCCTGGTCATCAGATTCCAACCTCCTCGTTTCTGCTTCAGATGATAAAACCCTAAAGATCTGGGATGTGAGCTCGGTGAGCTGCTCTGCCCAACCCCCGCCCCGGCAGAGCTTGTGTGCGTGGACAAGGGGCAGGGCGGGAGTCCGAGGGGGGTCTGGGGACCCTGGGTCACGGGGTGGCCCTGCTCTGTGGGGTATGTGCCATTGGGCCGCTGTGGGCTCAGCTTTGAAATAACCATTAGGAGTAACAGTCTGACGATACTTGGTTTTAGGGAAAGTGTCTGAAAACCCTGAAGGGGCACAGTAACTACGTCTTCTGCTGTAACTTCAATCCCCAATCCAACCTCATTGTCTCGGGCTCTGTAAGTCTAACCCCCCCTTCCCCTGGGGTGTTGTAGGGGTGTGGGGGTGCGGTACTTTGTAGCCAGAGACTTAGGAGTTGAGCCTGAGTCTTCTCTGCTGGGGGATGGGGGGCCGTGGTGGCAGGCCTTGGGTTCCAGAAGACCTGTCCTCTCCCACCTCCCTGTGGAGTGGCCTTAACCTCTTCCTTTGTCTTCAGTTTGACGAAAGCGTGAGGATATGGGATGTGAAAACAGGGAAGTGCCTCAAGACTTTGCCTGCACACTCGGACCCGGTCTCAGCTGTAAGTCCTGCTGAGCTCTGGACACCACATGGCAGGACAGGGTGATGGCCAGAGAGGGGGCACTGGGGACCCCGAGAGAGTTCTCCCTATCCTGGGCCTGTGAAAGGAGAGGCGGGAGAGGGGTTTGGTCCCTGAACCAAATCCTGCGGGACAGGTAGGGCAGCCAGGCCTGGAAGAGGGGCTGTGTGTTGGGAAGTGTGGCCACAGAGAAGTGAATTTGGAGTGGAGTTGGCTTTGATCCTGGGGTGGTGGTGGAATGAGCTGGGGTGAGCTAGCCGAGGGTAAGGGCTGGGGTGGGGGGGTTGGAGCCCCACAAGCACCCTGTGTGTGCTGTGTCCTGCCTTGTGCACACACTAGCAGTGTGCAAGATGAGGTACGTAGTTAAAGTATCTGCTGAAATACAAACCCTCCATTTGAAAGTGGCCGAGAGATTTTTTTCTTTGTCAGCAGAGCCTAGACTTGTTTCTTAGCCAAGTTTGCCTTTTTTTGGAAAGGGGAAGGAATCGTGTAAACATTGTGCTTATTTTTACTGAGCAGATGGTCCTTTTCACTTTCTGAAATTGTGTAGGTGAGTGATTTTAAGTATTTTCAGGCAATAAAGGGCTTTTTTGCCCAGCTGAGACCATTCGCAGAGCCCAGATACATGGAGGACATGTATTACGTGTTGGTCGCAGCGGACTTGAGGGGCCCTCGCTGCCCAGAGTCCCGGCCAGTGTGGATGGGGCTCATCCTTGGGGGCCCCGAGGAAGGCAGTGTGCTGTGGAGATGGGGCCTGGCCCACCTGGTGCTCTGCCCTCTGCCGTGGACCCCCAGTCCCAGGAGAGCTGACTTTGAGATGGGCATGGTGGTGAATGTGGGCAGGACCCAGGATGCAAGCTGAGTGAAGGCCAGGAGTCCCAGCAGTGCGAGGTGGTGCAGGGGCTGTGGGTGGGACCCTCAGCCTAAGTGGTAGGGTTTATAGAGTCTTTGTTTTCTGCGGAAGTGAAATGTACTCATTTTTTAAAAAAGACAAATGGATGCAGTGAAGAGAAAGTCACTCTCCTGAGCCCTCCAGGACCCCCGCTGGTAGGCCCCCCCCCCCCCCCCCCCGATCGGTATTTTAAATATGTGCTATCTCCCACCATCTGTCCTGTAAGTGGTGGGGGTGACCACAGCTATTATGCGTCCCTGTGGGAGGGTTTCTCGGGCATCTGTGGTGTCCATAGACCCCTATGGACAGTGGGCACTCTGTGCTGGGGCCCCAGCAGGTGCTTGTTTGTAGCTTGCATTTCTCATGGAGGAGTGCGATGAGCGTCTTTGTTGGGCCACTTTACCCACCATGTGTTTCTGCGGTGAGCTTTAGGAGGTCATCATCATGTGAAAGAGGTTCACTTAGTTTCCCAAGTAGATCCATCTGGGAGCGAGAAGCCCCCGGCACCAACTCTGCTGGTTGCCCCGTCCCTTGCGTCCCTTGCTTCCTCCTTCCTGAGTCTGGCCTCATCCTCTCTCGCCCGGACTCCTGCATCAGCTTCCTCTCTGAAATGGCCCTCCTATCTGTCTCATCCCGAGCCTGTTGCCGCCACCGCTTGGCCTATGGATTTTCCTTGTATCTTCCTGCTTTGCAGGACCTCACCTGTCTGCCAGGTGTCCCCTCCACAGAGAGCATTGAGTGACTGTCACTTGAGTGTGGATTTGGCGTCCCTGTTGCATTCTGATTTGTTGCCTTTCTCGTGTCTTTGGAGTACAGGGATGTGTGCAGGGTGGCTGTGTTGCCTTTTGGACCTGAGCATGGGTGGGATGGGAGAATCACACTGCATTTGCCAGTGGGGATGTCTGGATATGATTGGGAACAAGGCAAAGCATGAGGTTGGCATCGTAGCTTTTGGAGACCTGTGTCAACTCCTTAGTGTCTGGTATAATGGGCCTCGATGGAGTATTTTTCAAATCCAAAGAAAGGGATGAACATGGTGGGACAGATTGCAGTGAGTTAAAAAGACCATTATCTTGGGGCTCACGAACGGGTGGTCATGGTTAAGTAGCTGGCCCACAAGCCCATCCTGCCAAAACCACCGTGGGGATAGAAGGACAACTGAAAAGCTTCTCAAGTGTCTCTTGGCCCTAGCAGAGACAGAGAGGCCACCATCCACGTGTGGCACTGTGACCCTTGAAGTGCTGCAAGCCTAGATGGAGATGCGCTGTGAGCATGAGGTGTGCCATGTGCTCTTGGCCTTTGAAGGTTTGGTGCAGCGGAAAGGAACGTAATGTGCCTCATGGGTGACTTCAGCACCGGTCACGTGTTGGGGTGGTAGGTACCTTAGAGACTTTAGGTTAAATAAACCCAAGTTCATCCCACCCGTTAACTTCCTGCTGCAGCTACGTGAGAAGGTAAAATCGTCCACTGGTTAGGCGGGGGCCCTGAGAGTCTAGACCGCAGCTTCTCTGTGTCCCCTGGCCTAACGACGCCTGCATCCACTAAGAATGTGTCAGTGGTGTGACTCTGGGCCCGGCACTGAGTGTTACGAGCTCTCTGGGGTTCCTGGGCGCATGGCTTTGCTCCCAGAGGCATCCGGCAGTGTCTGGGGACAGCTTGGCTGTTATGGCCACATGCTGCCGGCAGGGTGTGGCCACACGGGCAGCCCCATGACCAGAGAGACAGGGCTAGTGGGGCAGTGGCGCCAGGGTGGAGGTCAATACCCCCACCTCTCTGTGCAGCTTGGTCTCATGTGGAAAACGTGTCGCGGGGAGTGAGACAGTCTCAGAAAGGTGCTATTTGCTGTAAGAAGGCTTATTCTGGATAAAGTCTGCTCAGGACTCAAAAATGGTAGAAGTTGGTGATGGATCCATCTCTTGACATCGTGGCTCCTTTACTCCCCCGGGGATTCTACTGGGAAAGCAGGAAAGAAACAGAGATGGCTCAGTGGTGAGACTGGGGCTTGTCAGGTGCGGAGGTGTGTGTGGCCTCGGCGGGTCTGGGGCCTGGGCACTCGGGTGACCAAAAGTGTGGGGAGCAGAGGCCAGTGGGGCCCCAGGACCAGCACACAGGGAATCACACCCGTCCCGAGGCAGAGTGTTTGGAGGGGCTGGGATGTTGGGTTGGCTCGAGCACCCTGGTGCCTGGGATCTCTGGTCCTTGCAGTGGGCAAGGAGGCACATGGAGTGCATTTCTCGGGTGGTCACCCAACAAGTGGGGACTTCTCTCCTGGTTTTTCTTCAGTGTGAGGTCTGGGGAGGTGGTTTGCAGCCCAGTTGCCCTGGTCAGGCTGCCTCCATGACAGGAGTGGATGCTCGTGCGTGCACGGGTTCTCGAGGCCCAGCCTCCTGTCCCTGGGGCTTGGTCGCCTTGGTTGTATTTGTTTCTTTTCAAAGATAGTTTTGTAGTAAGCGATTTAGCTGCTCGAGATGTGTTTGGTGTTGGTTTTCCTTCTGAGTTCAGACATCCGTTATGAAACGGGCTGTTGCTGGAGATGCCTGGTAAAAACCACTTCATCCATGCCGCTGGAGCGTCTTTTGGCAGCTGCGGGAAATTAGTAGAATTCGAAGCAAGTGGTGGCTCCGCTGCTTGCTCAGTGCTCAGCAGGACAGCGTGCTTTTGTCGAGAGCACTCGTCAGTAGGAGAGCCGCTTGGGGAGCACGGAGTCTGTATTGACCACTTGGAAGTAAGTGTCTTTTTTCCCTCCACTCTGTTCTCAGGTACATTTTAATCGGGATGGATCCTTGATAGTGTCAAGTAGCTATGATGGTCTCTGGTAAGTCAAGAAACTCACTTCATTTCCTCAGCACACATTTATTAAAAGGCACTGTTGTGGCCTCTGGGGGACTGCAGTGGAAGTGAGGCAGGCAGAGGTCTGTCCCCGTGAGGAGCTTCTGCTGTCGTGGGCTGTGGCTGATGGACAGACACACAGCACAGCCCCTGCCGTGGGGCGGACTGCAGGGCTGGAAGGGGTGCTCCTGCTCTGGCTCCGGGCTTCCCTCCTTGTGGGTGCTGAAGTGTGCTCTAGACAAGCTGCTGGGTGGACCCGGGACCAGCCAGCCTCCCGTTCTATGCAGGACGTGGAGCGGAAATCCCACCAAAGAGGTGGGAGGGGGAATATGGTTTCCTGTGGAATGTCCAGTTTAGCCTGAATGAATAATGTTTATACAGCTTTGAGCTCGTAACCTAAGTGTCGAGGATTCTTCGAGAGGCATGAGGGAAAGCGTGGAAGTAAGTGTTGTAAGTCTGAGGCAGCAGACATCGTGGTGGGAGCACGTGGTGGGAGCCAGGCTGGGTGTGCAGGGCAGCGGCCGCCAGCTGTGTGGGGACCCAAGAAGAGAAGGGGGAACAAAAGCATGGCTAGGAATTAGTCTATATTTAGTGAAAAGGAAATAAGAAAGAGGAAAATGGGGCAACATAAATCCTACAGTGAAAACGCCATGGAAGGACTGATACGAAGGACCGAGACGTGCTGCACTGGGTGTCATGGTGGTGGCCGGACACTCTCATGTAGGCTGTCGGGGTTGCATGAGAAACCCTTCTGACTCTTGCTTTCAAGAAATGCTTACAACTGTGTGGTAGTAGAGGTTTGAAACCAAAGGGTGGGTGGACGACGTCGGCGTCAGGGGGACTGACAAAGCGTCCTCAAGGAGACACCCGCGGGGCCCGCCGCACACAGCTGGCAGAGAGGCCTGTGTACATGGCCGCCCGGAGTGCCCCGGGGCCTCGGGCCATGAGGACAGTGAGGCTGGATGGGTCACTTTAGACATCACGGGAGAGCGTCTGTGGCCTTTGGGCCCGAGCAACACCGCAGCTGCATATTTGCTGCATGTGCAGCGAACATTGTGTCCCTCCAGCCCGGAGCAGTCTCCGGGATACCCATGGATGGGCTCTGAAAGCTTCCTAGAGAAGGAGGAGAAGTAACAGGAAAGTTGAAACGCTGGGTACTTACTGAGGCCAGTGCAGTAGTTAAGGTGGGTGAGAGGAAGGCAGCAGACTCTGGGGGGGGGAGGGAAGCGGGTACTGGGGCACCTTTGGGGAGCTCCCGTTTGCTGGGCTGGCCGAGGAAGGTCTGCCCACGGTTGTGCCCCCCCCCCCAGTGCTGGGCTGGATCCCAGACTTCCCAGGTTGGGGAGCTGTTCGGTTACACCTGCTGGGGCTAGCATGGCTCTCTCCCCATGCTCTGTAGCCAGTCCTGAAAGAAATCCATGACATCAATGTCAGAATTCCAAAGGAACTGTTTGCCAGCCGAGTCCAGCAGTGCCTCAGAAAATAGTAGTCCATGACCATGTGGGGTTTTTGAATAATGAAAGGGTTGTAATAGCATAATCAATGTCGGGAAGTCTGTGCTCTGATTAATTGTGTCAACACATTAAGGGCAAACCTTTGTGATGTGTCCTGGGTAGAGGCCAGGCAGGCACCTGCTAGGATCCTGCAACCACCCCCTGACAGAGACTCCAGCAGAGGAGGCCTGTGTGGCAGACTGTTCTGGAAGCTTCCTAGCATTTACGATATGTGGTAACACACTAAAACCGTTTCTAGCTAAATCAGGAGCAAAGCAAGCCATCTGCCTCTTACCCAGCGGTGTTTGGATTTTCTGGTTAATGAGTAAGAAAAGTACAGTGAGCTGTGTGAAGGCAGGAGAGAGCCTTATCTCTTCGTAGATGAGCTGCTTGTTTGTTGAGGGTTTGGAGCCACAAACATGGCCCCTGACCAGCGCAGACTCTAGCCCCACAGAGGCCCCATCCTCAGCCTTGCTGTCCCCTCTTGGTGGTGGGGGGCGGGGGAGGCAGGCTGAACACCCCTCGTTGTCCCCCCAGGATCTGCAGCACATGGCAGGCTCCAGCACCCTGACTCTGAACTGCCAGGCCCTGCCGTTTACAAAACGTGACTCTTTGGGGAGGTGAAGGTCTGGAAACAGACCTTTCTGGGTGCTGGGAGTTGGCAGTTAGCAGATGTGTGGGAGCAGAGGATGGATGGTGGGGAAGTACATCTAACAGCAGGGGAGGACCATGGGGAGGAAATGAACGGAGTGTGACTAAAGGGACAAGGAGCAGCGAGCCAGGGGGTTGGGATGGGGCGTGTGCACGTCCCCTTGTGGGGACCCGTCCCCCTCAGCTGGCAGACCAGGGAGTTCCACGTAGTGGCCCCCATGGCCTTTCCTCAGCGAGATGAAGAGGGCTCTGGAAAGAGCATAGATGAGCTGGTGCCGGGAGAGTAAAGAGAACCAGCAGGCAGTTGGTGGGGGGGTGGGGGAGGTGCTGTTGCCTGGACCGAGTTGGGGGTGTTGCTCCCAGGGGAGGGGGCTGGGTGGGGCAGACAGGGCGGAGAGGTGGTGGCTCTAACTCCCAGCAGTCACAGAGTTAGCACGGAAGCGGCCCTGCGGCCAGTGACGTGGAAGACCGTCCCGGGCCAGGGCGAACATCAGAGGGATGGGAAGGGGGCAGAGGACATGAGGAACAGAGAGTGTCACCCTGTGACCCAGTGCCCCACTGCTGGGCACCCATGCTTGGAAGGGCAGGTGCTAACAAGCATGTTGGCTGCCAGAGTCGTATTCACATGGACGGGAGTCAGACGCTGGAGCTGACCCGCCCATTCTGGGCCAGCAGCTCTTCTAGTGTGTTCTCTGGCTCCTGCACAAGAGGGACATCCAGAAAATCTCATATGATGCTCTTTTGGTGGAAAACAAACTCCCGAGCAACCACGTGCTTGGAATGTGTGTGCCAGGAAATAGGTGGGGCTCCTGGGGCCCTAGACATGGCCTTTGTCACCCCTGTCCTGGCGACCGTGCACCTGTGGTGGAGACAGGAAGGCACTGGGTCCGTGTGACTGTGGCCAGTGTGCTGTGCTCAGGTGCCTGTTGTGGCCCCAGGCGTCAGGGGAGTTGAAGTGGAGCAGTGAGAAAAACTGAGATAGGACTAATCATGTGTTAGTCTCAACATCCATGTTTGCTCAGGAGCCAGAACGCATCGAGCTGCTCATCCTGACTCGCTTTGTAAAAACTTGCTGCTGTTTTTCCGTTGCAGCCGGATCTGGGACACTGCCTCGGGCCAGTGCTTGAAGACGCTGATTGGTGAGTGCTGCAGTTTCCCGGCTGGGTGCTCCTCCCCGCCGCATGGTGCTGTTCCCGTCCTCTGTCTTACCTGGTGTTTGGGAAGCCTCTTCTCTCTGGCCTGGATCTGCTCCCCTGGGAGGGCTCCTCCTTCCTTACTGACCCATTCCAGCTCCTTCCTGATGACCTCCGGCACCGTGACGTCCCCTCCAGACTGGGCCCCACGGTGTCTGCATTGGCCTTTGCTCGGGACTGCCTGGCTGTGTCCTCCAAAAGCCCCGTGAGCCCCTCCACCCTCTACCTGTACGTGGCAGACCCTTGGTGGATCCTTCCTTGAGCAGATGTGATAGAAGCCTGACCCTGAAGTGCGTCCCGCCTGCTGGGGGTGTCATGGACGAGTTTGGGGGAAGGGCACTGGGGTCTCTGCAGACTGCTGGGGTCGGTAGTGGAAAGACAGGCAATGCCGCCAGCAGGTGTATGTGTGGCCAGAGGATGGGTGGTGGGCCCCTGCAGAGCCCTGAACCCCTGAGGGTGATGGGGAGGCAGCCCTGGGAGGGTTTTGAGAGCATGCATCACCTCGGGTCAGCCTGGAAGCTCCCTGCAGTTTCAGGTTCAAGTGTGAGGTAGGGCAGGTGGTAGAGTTCTGTGCTGCGGGGCAGGAATTGGGTGGTGGGCTGGGAGAGGGAGCTGGCCCACCACTTGCCTGGGAGGTGCCGCCTCTGAAGCTCTGCACCCTTTTCTGGGCTGTCAGGGGAATGCATGTGGCTTTATGCATCAGTTGGGGTCACCTGGGGTCTCCATAGCAAAGCACCCCAGGTTGGGTGTCTTAACAGATTTATCACCACATCCTGGACGCTGGAATCCAAGATCCAGCCTTGGGCAGGCCTGGTTTCTCCTGTGGCCTCTCCTCGACCTTCCTGCCATGTCTCACGTGGTGGTTCTCCTGTGTACGCACCTCTGGTGTCTGGTTCTTTTTCTCTTGTACAGATGCTGGTCAGATCGGATTAGGGTCCCCTGTACCACCCACATTTTAACTGAGTCATCCCTCGCAAGGCCCCACCATCTGAGGTCCTGGGGTTAGGACTTCAACATGCGAAGTTTGGGAGGGACACAGTTCAGCCCATGATGGTGGCCTTTGTGCGGTTTTTGCTTCATGTGGCTGCCCTTTTGATGGTGTGACATCACACTGTGTCCACAGTACCTGCCCCAGGAGGCCTGGGGACAGTGCCATCGTTCACACTGCTGAAGCCGCCGGGCGCTTGCTGTGTGTAGAGCTTCGTTGATGCTAACACACGTAGTCCTCACAGCGGGGTGGGAAACAGGCCTGGAGGGGTTCGTTAATGAACCCAGGCTGGCGGCAAGCAGGTGCAGCATCCACCTGGAGGTCAGGGCGATGCGTAGCCTTGCCCGCAGCCCACTTCTGCCGTCAGGTCTAGGGAGCTAGAACTTTTTGGACTCAGTGACGCTTTGGTCCTGGAGCTTAGGTAAGAGACGCCGGCACTACCCAGCCTTGTCTAATGACGGGGCCTGCCTTCCTGGTGTGGTCCCGGTGCCCCAAGGAGGGCCCTTGGTGGCCTCATGCCTTCTCATGTGCCTTTGCAGTGTCTGGGACCTGTCGGAGGGAGCAGCGGCCCCCGGCGCGTGGTGGCCAGGTCCCTCGAGGTGGTAATGCAGCGTGCCGCCCTCCCCCGTTCCAGCACCAGGGTTCACAGCCCCAGTTCCGTCCTTCTCACCTGGGGGGAAACGCGCTCCTCCCGATGTGAGGGTCACAGGGCTGTCGTATGGCTGCAAGTGCTGGCCTTGTCCTGGGCGGCCCCGGTGGTGGCTCTTACCTGAATTTCCAGGCCACCCGGGGTGAGCTTTTAGACCCGAGTGTAGAGGCAAGAATGCAGGTATCGTGCCAGCAGGACTGTTTCTAGAGGGAATTGACAGATCTTTGCTCTGGTTACAGGTATCAGGAAACATGAGATAATTCACCTGAGTCCTTTTTTCCTCAATGGCAATGCTTTCTCAGTCCAGTGGGGCGTTTGCAAACTTTGTTTCACATGAGGAAGCTGATCCTGGGTCCTCTTACAAACCCCATGTTGGCAGAAGGCCAGGCACCCCGACTTTGATTTGCTACAGACCCTTAGCTCCTAAAGCCCTTGTGGCAGAGGGGGTGGTCAGGCCCCCGCCAGGGACCCGAGAAACATCGAGGAGAACCGGCCGTTGTGACCGGCACCAGGGACGGGTGAAGGTGGTGGTGTGGGCACCGGTGGCAGTGTCCCCACTCGGATGGCCCCGTGTGGTGATGGGGGCACTCTTCTGTCCTCCCCTGGGCGCAGACCTGGCGCTCCTCCCGTCAGCCTGTCTCTGCGTTTCCCATGCAGATGACGACAACCCTCCTGTATCTTTTGTGAAGTTCTCTCCAAATGGCAAGTACATCCTGGCCGCAACCTTGGACAAGTAAGTGCCACCACCTCCCATGGGGCAGGCCAGGGACATCCATCTCCTACTAGTATTCTAAAGATAAGACATGTCTATACTCGTGGTGGGTTTAGGGTTCCAGGATGCAGCTGTTGTGCTGGCAGCGAGGGCCCTGCCTCTGTTGGGGGCTGGGTCTCTGGTCTGAAGGATTTGGGGTCCGGGTTTCTCTGTGGTGACTGTGTGAGCTGGGCAACCCCTCGTCTGCAGGAGTGGGGGGACGGGTGGCCTCTGAGCAGCCTGAATTTCACCCCAGCAAACTCGGAGCAGGTTTTGCCCCTTCAGGCGGGCCTTCCAGCCCTGGCTGCCCTGTGTGCACTTTGGGCAGCCCTCTGGGGACCTGCGCTTGAGCCCCAAGATTGCCGGAGGGCCATGAGTTTGGTGCCTCTCCTCATGAGCACCCTTCTCCGGAAGAGCAAATTCCAGTCCAGCGAGGACTGGAGGAGAGGGGATTGTTTGTGGCCATTGAAACCTGTTCTGGGTGTTTCTGGACCCTCCCCACATCCGTCTTGTAGCAGGAGTGAGCCACTTATGATTCAGGGAGCACCCAGCAGCCTCTGTTGAGTGGCAGAAATGTGTGGGGTTCTCACGCTCTGCCCTCCGGTGTCCTTAGAGCACCATCCATTCCTGTGCCCACTGCTGGCCGCTTACAGAGGGTGATAGACTCGGGCCCTGGCTGTGCTCCACCCATGAGCACTTGGCGGGGCCATGTAGTGACAGCAGGGACCCCCTGGGAATGCAGGCGACTCACCCCCCTCTCTGCCTTCCAGCACACTGAAGCTCTGGGACTACAGCAAAGGGAAGGTGAGCGCTGGGGGCAGGCTGGTGGGGGCTGGGCTGCAGCTTTCCCTGGGGGCAGAGCTGAGCCGGGGTCTGAAACCAGAGGCTTGAAGAGCGCTCTTCTCTGGTTGGCCTGGTGCATGTTCCTCAGACTCTGGATTTTGTAGACCTCTGGGCCGCGGTAAGCTTCAACTGTGTGGCTCTGTACTGTGGGTGCTTAGAGCACTCTCAGAGCGTGGGTTAGTCGGCCGTGAGATGCCTGCACTCCGGACGCTGAGAACTGTCCCGAGTGCAGGCACATCGGGACCCGATGGACGTACTGATACTCCCACCTTTGCAGTGCCTGAAGACATACACCGGCCACAAGAACGAGAAATACTGCATTTTTGCCAATTTCTCAGTCACTGGCGGGAAGGTAAGTTTTTTTCCAGCGAGGGAGCTTCTCGCCCTCCCAGCTGTCCCTCCAGAGAGGTGACCCCATCTTAGGTTGGCGTATATGCCTATGGACGCTCTCTGTGCCCGTGGAACAAAGCTCCAGTGACTCTGGGTCGGACGGCTTCTCCTGTCTGCTCCCGGGCCCGTTCCTCCTGAAGGCAGGGGGTTTGGGGCATGGCGGCAGGTGTGTGAGGGCTCTGTTGCCCCGGGGCTGTGCTTCCGTGCCGCCCCCCCCCCCCAACAGGCTGGGGCCCCACTCCTGCGCTCGCCCAGGTAGGAGGTGACTCGAGTGGGTGGTGGCATTCAGCAGACAAGGACGTGACCCTGAGAGTGACAATTTGAGAAAACCTTTAGTTCCCAGAGGGCCCCAATGTGGGCGGTGCTGGGGGGTGAGTGCCACCCTGGAGTGGGTGTGGATGTGAGGGGAAGGTGACCCTTGCTCAGGAGCAGCTCCGACCTGGGTTTTTCTCACCCGTCTTCTATTCTAGTGGATTGTGTCTGGTTCAGAGGACAACTTGGTATACATCTGGAACCTGCAGACCAAGGAGATTGTACAGAAATTACAGGGCCACACAGGTGAGCACAGTCATCTAGCTGGCTGCACACCCACATTTACACAGTGATGGTTTCTGGGAAAATAAAAAACAAGGTGTTGCATTGTTGTGCTGCCTGCTGCTCTTGTTGCTTGGCCTTTTGGTGGCCTGGGGGATGCCGTTTGTCTCGGGACAGTTGGCAGGTGGCTTTGTCCGAGCTCTTGTCGGGCCAAGGCTGGATCCGGCTTTAACTTCTCTCCACAGCCGTCTTCCTGGCTGCCTGGCTTCAAAGTCCATGCAGGTTCCGTGGCTTCTTGTGCGGATGTGGCCCGTGCATGGGGCAGAGCCATCCGCTCTGGTCTAGAGGCTCTGGTTCCCGCAGGCCTTGCACCCCCCCGCCTACACTTGGTGGAGAGTGATCTTCAAATCTGCTGAGTGCTCTACCTTCATCTCTTAAAGCCATGTCCACCCACTGGGGCCATGACCTAGACCTGTGGGTCAGCTGCGATGCGTAACCTGCCCACGTGGCTCAGCACCTAGGGAGCAGCCCCGTGCTTCAGTTGCTTCTGGCCTGCCCACTGCCATGTGGGCAGGACACTCAGCCCCTTTGAAGCCGCACAGGAAGAGGGAAAGTTCTGGGGTGTGGCCCCAGGTGCCAGCTCACGGGCCCTCATATCCCTGCTGGAGGTGGGAGGCTTCCTGGTGGAAGTGGGGCGTGCCCGGGCCCTGCAACAGGGTGGGGCATGGTGGGATCGGGCACGTTGCTCACACAGCGGGACAGGTGCTCCTCTGTACCCTTGGGGCCCGCTGTGCCAGGTGTTGGGCCGGGCTCCACGAGCGCCCTATGCTGGCCTGTGAGCATGTGCTGCTGCCCCCTGGCCGACCCTGGCATTTGTGGATGCCGCTGCGTTAATGCCACCTGCCAGCTGTGCTCCTGCTCAGTGTCCCCGTGTGGTGGCACAGTGCAGGGCTGTGAGTTGGGGGTCCGTGGTGCGGCCCTGGGGGTGGTGGGAGTGTGACCCTGGGACAGCCAAGCAGGTCTCTGCACCAGGGGGCAGACATTGGCTACGGTCTCTGTTTCAGACGTCGTCATCTCGACAGCCTGCCACCCGACAGAGAACATCATCGCCTCGGCCGCACTGGAGAACGACAAGACCATCAAGCTCTGGAAGAGTGACTGCTAGGCGCTGTGGTTGCCGCAGGGGGGACGGTCAAGACGGTGGCCGGGCGGCGGGAGCACAGTGTCTGGAAGGGCACCCCTCAGTCTGGGCCTGGGGGTCGGGAGAGGCCTGGATTAAGCCGCCCCTGAGGACGATGTGGCGGAGGGACCAGAAAGTTCTAGAAGTTGCTGGTGATGTTCTGGCAATCCCTCTCACACTGTCTGGGGAAGTTTCTAGTCTGTATTGTGTTCACACGGAGTCCACGCAAATTTTTAATTTTTTATTACAGAAGGGTGAAGTTCAATTTATCATGAGTTGTGTTTTTTTCCCCGTAAGTGTTTTGTGCCTCCTTTGGTATCTTAGTGCCCAGTGCCAGCACCGTGAGCCGCCGCCGGGGCCGTCCCGCCTGCCCCCTCGTCTGTTCAGTAGATGCTCTAGTGACGCCATCTGTGGCCACTGGTTCCTGCTGTAGTTGTGCCCAGTGTGTTTCAAAGTCTTTTCTGGAAAACAGCACTGTAAGGTTATTTTCGTGTACAAACCCTTTGTGTGTGGGAGTCGGTGGTCCTGGTGCCCACAGCCTGGCCTCATGCTAGTAGCTCCCTGTGTCCCCCCTGTGTCCCTGACACGCACAGTCATGGGCTGTAACACGGGGCAGGGGCCTTGCTGCCACCCTGGCGGTGCTCAGCCCTCGAATAGAAAGTGTCCGAGGTGGCAGGAAGTTGAGGGTTCCCGTGGGAAGGACTTGGCCCCCCTTCCCCCCGCCCCCCAGTAGGTCAGGAGGTGGGAACTAAGGGAGCTGGGAGCATTGGGATGAGCGGGGCGGGAGGGAAAGGAACGGGCCACCCTGCTGTGGCCCATGGAGTGCTGCAGGGGCCACTGGGGCCGGGCTGCGTGAAGCTCAGGCTGGGCCGCAGTCCCCCTGCCCACCTGGGACCCGCAGGCTTGCCGGGAAGGCGGTGGTGCAGGGGGTGGGGGGCGTGCCAGCAGCCGGCAGGTCTGCTGTGTGAATGGGAACCTCCGTGCCATGGGGAGAGCGGGGTTGTGCTGGGATGCCCAGGCCTGGGGACCCCACGCCGTGTCCACACCCCCTCCACCGGCACCTGGGGCTGAGGTGCGCGTGCCCTGCCTGCCTTGGGACTGTGGATGGGGCTGCGTCCGCCCTGCCTTTCCCGAGGCCCCGAGTCCTTGGGTGGGGGTGGGGGGGCTGCCTTCAGCAGGCTTCTGGGCCCCTCCAGTGGGCATCTGGAAACCAGCTTCTGTTTCCCCGGCCCGCCCTCTGGAGGTGGCCAGCAGGGAGGCTGTCTGTGCCATGAGGAATCCCGGTGGTGACAGGCTGTCTGCGCTCAGGGGCTTGGGGTTGGGGAGCCCACTTTGCCGCGTATTTTGGTAGGAAGCGCGAAGGTGTTAACAGGCCTCCCCTGGGCGCAGATGGCCGTGGACGCGGGGCGCTGTGCCCTTGGATATAGTTTATTTTTTCTACGTTTGAATTCTCTGTTGTAGATTTGTGTAAAAATACATTCTCTCTTTTAAAAATAAAGATTTTCATGTCTTGTAATTTTGTCCCCCGAGACTCCCCTTTCTTAATGTGCAGCTTTTTGGGTGGGGGCTGGCAGCCCACTGGCCCTTTTTGCTGCTTGGGTGGGCATGTTCTGGCAGAAAGCTCACAGTTATTAAAAAATACCTTTTCTATGAAAGTTATCTGTGTTAATTATTGACAATGTAAAACAGGCAAGGATTATAAACCACCTGGATTCCTGCTGCCAGTAACATTTTGGGGGATTATCTTCTAGTATATTCATTAAAAATGAAAACTGTTGTGGACCACTTAAGCATATATAAACATAGAGAAAACCTTGTTAGGTTTGTCCGCTTTTTTAAAAGATATTTTTTAAAAGATTTTTTTATTTTAGAGAAAGAACAAGCAGACTTGTTCCAGACACAGGCAGGAGAGAGAATCCCAAGCCGACTTGCCGCTGAGCGCACAGCCCGATATGCAGGGCTTCAGCCCAGAACCCTGGGATCATGACCTGAGCCGAAACCAAGAGCTGGGTGCTCAACTGCTTCGCCACCCAGGTGTCCCACGCGTCCCACACCTCAGATACATTTTTTTTTTTTTTTAAGATTTTATCTATTTGTGAAGGACACAGAGGGAGAAACAGGCTCCATGCGGGAAGCCCGATGTGGGACTTGATTCTGGGACTCCAGGATCATGCCTGGAGCTGAAGGCAGACACTTAACTGCTGAGCCACCCAGGGCATCCCCCCAAATACTCTTTTTTTTAAAGATCTTATTTATTCATGAGAGAGGCAGACACAGGCAGAGGGAGAAGCAGGCTCCAGGCAGGGAGCCCGACGTGGGACTCGATCCCGGGTCTCCAGGCCAGGCGCTGGGCCGAGGGTGGTGCTGAGCCGCTGCGCCCCCCGGGCCGCTCACCCCCCCCCCCCGCCCCGAATATTCTTTAGTCAAATCCCAGGTGTCGACCCTGCATGTGCGCACACGCACAGGTTCGCGTATACGCGTGCAGGCTCGCGCACCATGCATGTGCCCCAGGCGGGGCGCCCTGAGCCCGGCCCGCAGGGGCCCTGCCTGCGCAGCTGGGTCGAGCCCCATGGTCGCCAGGTCCCCTGGCTCGGTCCACCGCGAGTCTGGAAGCCCGGCTCGTCCCACCGGCCCCCAGGCCTGGGTCTGCAGGTTGCCTGGGGGGCTGCGGGCCAACTTCCGGCTCCGGCCCCCGCAAGCCGGGCCTGAGGACCAGGCGCCCCGAGGTGGATGGCGCCGCTCGCATCAGCAGGGCCGCTCCGGGTCAGGCTGGGTTTCCTTGACCCGACGGCGGGGCCCTGACGGGAGGCGCGCGCCGTGGAGCCCGCGGCGGCCTGGGCTCGGCCTGGGCTCGGCCTGGGCTCGGCCCGGGCTCGGCCTGGGGGCAGAGGCGTCCGCGGAGCGCGTGCACGTCGCTGGCGCGTCCCGCCGAGCAGCACCGCACAGGCCGCGGGGGGGGGGGGGGACACGGGCCGTCAGCGGCCAGGAGGAGTCCCAGGGGGGCACAGGGGCCGGGGCAGGACCGGCCGGCGGACACGGCAGGCGGCACCCGGGGGCAGGCCGCAGCGCACGGCAGCCGGGAGGCAAGCCCCGCCCCCTCGCCCCCCAGCCCCCCAAAAAACGTTGGTTAGATGCCACGAAGTAGGTGGCAATGCCTTAACCGTATGCGTGTTGTCAGGCCCGAGGGCCTCTTCCATCCTTGTCAAGGGGAGTGCTAACCTTCTCTCCTTTCATACAACACACCCGCCGCTCCGGCCGCGCGCTATTTAAGGGCCCTCCCGCGCGCCGCCTTTGACTTACGGCGACTAGCGGAGGCGGGGGGGGCCCGCCCCCGCGCCCACGCGCCGCAGCACACGTCTGCCCGCAGCGCGGAGCCGCCGCCCCTCGCGCGGAATCCCCCAGATCCCCGCCGTCGCTGCCGCCGGTGGGAAAACTCGCCTTTCCCTGCGCTAATATATTCATAAAACCAGCCAATCAGACGCCGGAGGGGGACAGGCGGAAGTCCCGAACTTCCTTCAAGAAAACGAGATTTCCCCCGGAAACAAAACAGGGCCCGCGCGCACGACCTACAGGAACACGCCTCGCGGACGGGCCGGGCCGAGGCTCGGAACTTCCTGCGGAAATGGCCGTGAGTGCGAGCGAATCAGGGGGCGAGGAACGGAGATGCCCTCTACGGATTTCCGGACGCTGCTCTGCGCTAGGAACTGTGGGTGCTGGAGGCGCGGGAGGCGCGGGACGCGGCGGGCGCATGCTCCGAGGCCTCGCTGCGCGCCTTGCGCATGCTTCATGAGCGCTGCGCCCAGTCCTGGAGCCGCGGGTTCGAGCCCCAGAGCCGGCGTGTTGGCGCACGCCCGCCTCCACGTCTTCTGTCTGCGCTTTCCTCGGGGCTTGATTGAAGCCTGACGCTTCCCGCCTGCCTGTCCCCGAAGCCGTGGCCCTGGGAGAGCGTGTGTGCGCCGTGTGCGCCGTGTGCGCCCGTGTGCACGTGCGTGCGGTGCAAGGACGCGTGTGCTCGTTGTCCCTGTAAGCACGGGGACTGAGCTCGCGCGCAGGGCTGTGTGCAGGTGTGCGTGCCCCTATGCACGCATGTGCTCCTGCACGCCCGCATCCACACGCCGACCTGCAGGGGCCGGCTCTGGGTGGCTGCGGGCTGTGAGCGGCCGGGGGGCGTTTCTCTGTGCTTATTTGGATGTCTGCTTCCCAAGCTGCACTGAAACAAGAGTTTGTTGGTTAAAGCAGTTCGTCAGTTTCTCCCCCGCCCTCACCCCCGAGCCCAGGGGCCGGAGGAGCCGGGGCCTCCAAGGGGTGGCGGTGGGTCCAGCCGCTGAGGCGCGGCGGCACCTGCTCGCTGATGAGGAGTTGGGGGGGGCCCTTTAGTTACAGGTGGGGAGCCAGCGAGGGTGGGGGAGGACTGTGCCACCTTGCAGGGGGAGAAGAGCGGGGCGTGCCCAGGGCTCCGTCAGGCCACCCGCTGCGCCCGCGACCTGGCACAGCACCCTCTCCAGCTCCCCCAGCTCCCCCACCCCCACGGGGAAGAGGCCGTCAGCACCCCCATTTTGTAGCTGAAGATGCAGAGGCCCAAGGGGTTGGGCAGCTTGGGCCAGGCCACACTGGGCACTAGCGGAATAGGGAGTCTGTGTTGCGCCCCGGCCGCTTGTGCCCGACTGGCGTGCTCCACCGCCGGCTCTGCCTCGGCCCGCGGGGCCCCTCAGGTCTGGGCACACGGAGACTCCGTCGGAGGCAGCTGGGTCCCAGTGATGCCTCCTGCCCATCTCCAGGCCATGTGGGGCCGCCTCCCCTTGGCTTCTCAAGCTCCTGGTCCACGTGGGCTTCTCAGGAACCCCAGGCCGGGCCTCGCAAGCTTTAGGGTGAACCCGAACCACCTGGGGTCAAAGTGCAGTCTCCTGGGACCACCTCCCAGAGTCTGAGTCAGAGGGCGGGGCAGGCCCAGGGATCTGCATTCACAAGGCACATCAGCTCCCCCATCTAAGCAGCCTGTCTGCTCTGGGTAGACGGTGGGAGACTCCACATCTTCCAGGGGGCCCAGCGAGAGTGACAGGTGTAGGAAGGGCTTGTAGAACCAGGGCTTCGTGGGGCTGGGGGGCCCAGGTGGGAGGAACCCAGGAGCAGACCTGGCTTTGTTGGCTGCATTTCCTGAGGCTGCTTCTCTGGGTGTCTGCTGCGGGGTCTCCAGGACTCAAGGCCGTAGGGCATCCCATTGTGTAGGTTGAATAAATGCGTGGTCGGTCAGTCTCCGTGTGACTG